AACAAGCAATTAGGCCAAGTACAGGTGCAGGCATGAAGACCTGAATGGCCTACTCCTGCACCTATTTTCTGTGTTTCTGTTTTTTTTTTGCAAGATTACCTCTGTGAGGTAGTGGAAATATGGAATAAATAAGAATCCTACAGCACATAAAACAGTCCCTTCGGTCCAACTCGTCCATGCCAATCAGGTTTCCTAAACTGAATTTTAGTCCCATTTTCCTGCATTTGGCCCATATCCCTCTCAACCTTTCCTATCTATGTACCTATTCAAATGTCTTTTAAAAGTTGTAATTATGCCCTGCCTCTACGACTTCCTCTGGTAGCTCATTCCATATGCACACCACCCTCTGTGTGAAAAGGTTGCCTCTCAGGTCCCTTTTAAATCTTTCAATCTTTCCCCCTTACCTTAAACTTATGCCCTCTAGCTTTGAACTCTCCTACTCTGGGGCAGAGAACTTGGCCATTCACCTTATCTGTGCCCTTCTTGATTTTATAAACCTCTGAGGTCACCCCTCAGCCTCCGACACTCCGGTGGAACATGTCCCAGCCTATCCAGCCTCTCCTTTATAGCTTAAACCTTCCGTTCTCAGTAACATCCTTGTAAATCGTTTTTTCACCCTTTCTAGTTTAATAATATCCTTCCTGTAGCAGGGTGACCAGAATTGTACGTAGTACTCTAAATATGGCCTTACCAATGTCTGAACAACTGTAACATGACATCCCAAGTCCTGTACTGTGCTCTGACCGATGAAGGTAAGTGTGCCAATGCCTTCTTCACCACCCTGTCGACCTGTGATGCCACTTTTCAAGGAACTATGTACCCGCACCCCTAGTGTTCGACAACACTCCCCAGTACTCTACTATCTACTGTACACGTCCTGCCCTGATTTGTCTTAGCAAAATGCAACACCGCATGTTTATCTGAATTAAACTCCATCTGCTATTTCTCAGCCCATTTGATCACGATCTTGTTGTACACTTAGATTACCTTCTTCACTGTCCACTGTACCAGCAATTTTGGTGTCATTCTGCAAACTTACTAACCATGCCTCCTATATTCTCATCTAAACTGTTTATATAAGTGACAAACAATAGTGGACCCAGCACCGATTCTTGGGGCAGATTGCTGGTCACTGGCTCCAGTCCGAAAAACCACTCTCTACCACCAAGCTTCAAAATCTCCCCACCCTGATCTCATCCCAAAACCAGCCCAGCTCGTCCCCGCTTCCTTGACCTGTCCGTCTTTTCTCCCACCTTTCCGCTCCTCTCACCTCATACCCCAACCCTACCTCCTACCTACCAGCCTCATCCCCGCCTCCTTGACCTGTCCGTCTTCCCTTGACTGACCAACCCCCATCCTAACTCCCCATCTACACTCACCTTTACTGACTCCATCCCCCCCTCCTTGACCTGTCCGTCTCCTCTCCACCTATCTGCTCCTTTATCCACCTTCCATCTGCCTCCCCCTCTCTCTCTATTTATTACAGAATCCCCTTCCCCTCCCCCATTTCTGAAGAAGGGTCCAGACCCGAAACGTCAGCTTTCCTTCTCCTCTGATGCTGCTTGGCCTGCTGTGTTCATCCAGCTCTACATCTTGTTATTTCTACCACCAAGCTCTGTCTCCTTCCATCAAGCCAATTTTGTATCCAGTTGGCTAGCTCTCCCTGGATCCCATGTGACCTGACCTTACTAAGCAATCTATGGTCACCTCTTCAAAAATTTCAATGAAATTTGTGAGACACAATTTCCCATGCACAAATCCATGCTTACTATCCCTAATCAGTCCTTGCCTTTCCAAATACATATAGATCCTGTCTGTCAGAATCTCCTCCAACGATGTACCCACCACTAACGTTAAGCTCACCGGTCTGTAGTTTCCGACAGCTTTTATTGGTGCTAATGGTGCAATATTGAAAGCTAAGATGACAAAATGTCAAAAGGAGAAAAATAAATTCAAATTGGAACAAATCGAAAAGAAAGCTTAGAGCTGCTGGAGTTTTGAAGTGTGTAATAGGTACCCCAGGTCTAAAAAGAATGACCAACACCAAGGATGTACAGGTCCCCTGCTACAGCTGTATTCTTACATGGTCAGAGACAACAGCAGCTTGCCTCTCTTCCCTAACAACTGTCCACTTCTTTGTTCCTGTTTTATTTTGATAAAGGTAATTGGGAAAATAATTGGTTTAATGTTACTCATGTAACTGTTAAAGCCAGCGTAGGTGGAGAGCTGTGCGAAAAGATGTTATACAGGCATGAAGCTACGGCACGTCTTGATTGAAACAAGATAGGATGTGAAAGGTCTGTTGCAATCCCTGATGAAACAGCCAAATTATTGATATAGCATGGTTTAGAACTAGCAATTGTTTTTGTTTCAAGTAGGTGGTATTTGAGATCCCAGGTATTTAGAGATGAAAACCACAAGATTCCGTATTTTTGAGCAAACTTAACTTTTCTCCACAGTGAGAAAAGCAAAACAATCTACTGTTAGATGTGTGTATAAAACATGTACTTTAACGTCCAGAATTATTATGCGATAAATGTAAATTAACTGTCACACTCTTGTTGAACATTCCACGAATCACTTCAAATAGCTGATGCAATGAAGGCAGATCCCATATAATTGTCAACAAACCAGTCAGATGATAGTGATACTGGGTCACCAAGTCTCTTAAAATTTTTACTTCTTGACTTGCAAAGAACTAGCCTTGAAAAATCCCTTGTAACTGCTCTGTCATGGACTGCTTCTTTGACATCTCGTGTCCTGGTAGTTTAATCTCATCCCTTGAGCCTGCATTCCACTGGATTATTGAGGCTGTGCTTCAACACCTACTCAAGGATGTGTAATTTGGAAAGCCTGCTTGATACAGTTGTCTTAATCGTTTCCTGAACTCATTTGTGTTCTTCTCCTTAAGAACTTTTAACTTGAACTGAAATTTAACTTTAACTTAAACAGATGAGAATATGTCCTCAGGACAGACTCACTAACTGATTATTCCCAATTACACCTGGATTAGTTTTAATACATACTTGAATTCAAATTAGATTTCTGCGATAGGTAACATTTTTCTCTTGTCAAAATAATGTCTGTAATTGATAAATAATATAATTAGTAGATAATAAATGAGCAGTATACCTGAATTGTTCTAACTTCCTACGTGGACAGTAAAGTGAAAGGAAGTGACCCTTTTACAAAAAGTCACACATACAACTTTGCAGTTTCTGATGAAGGTCACAGGCTACATTTTCATACCTCTGACCATGTCAGAATGGAGGTGGAGGGATTTAATAAACAGGAAACAATACCAGAATTCCTGCCGCCATTCCCGTTATGTGGGATTTTTGAGAACATGGGACCAGGATGCAGATTACATGTGGGTGCCCTGCAGGCACTAATTCCACCTTTGGTTATTCCATTGCGCTGGTGGATATTTGCATTCCAGCTATTTTCGTAGAGTTGAGCCTGTTTTTGTCAGGACCATGGTCCATAACAAGTCTGAGGAGTTGTGAGCCATGGGAGACCTCGAGACGAAAGGTGTTAACAACTTCATATTTCAGAATGTAATAGTATAAATTAAAATGAGGTTAATACAGCGATCAATAATGGGGCTTTGTTTGGAAATAGTATATGACCAGTAAATTGACTAGCATTTTGGAAGGTTCAAATGGATTAGAGTGTGTTATACAATTAATGTTAATACAGCTGAGATCCCATTATGAATGCTCGCCTGAGTGCCAAGCCTAACTGCTCAGCAGGGATTGTTGACCGCTGTTAAGGGGACTTTCACCTTTGTTTTGATAGTTTTATAAACAGGCAATAAGATTAATGTTTGTTATTGTTTGTTTGTTTATTTTGATAATTAGTTGAGTATCTCAAAGATTTCCCAATGTTATTATAGGGTTCATGAGCTCTGTCCTTCCTGGAAACTGGGTGAGGGGGTCTTGGAGTAGGTTGTTTGAGAGAAGGCTGATAAGCAAAGCAAGGCTGTTCAGCCATGTGCTGAAATCCCAGTGAACTAATGTGAACTTCAAAACTTCCTGCCTTGGCAACCACTCCCCTTAATTCACACCCTGAGCTGCTTACAGAGGCAATGGCTCCAACTCATGCCCAGTCACTTATCTTAAAAATAGCACAGGTGGGAACTGCCAAGCAGGAAGTGGATTGTGATGTTGGCAAATTACCCAACTTGTGATGCTTGCCTAAAAGATGAAAAGCTAGGCCCACAACTTCATGTGCACTGCCTCAAGGTAACAGAGGAACCCAGTGAACATGGTCAACAAATTATGAACAAAAATCAGTTTAAAATAATTTCAAGGTCATAAAATCTGGAATTCAAATAAGAACAGCCATACCATTGTTCCTGTACTGCGTCCGATTAGTGTTTATGCGTACATATGGTTTGTACATAATTGTTATCTGTATTTTTAAGGTATGCACATCTTTCAATTCAACTTATTACTTCTGGTATTTTTCAATCCTTGAAAGAAATTGTACCTGCCACTAATATGATTCCTTCTTTTCTCATTTGCCTCCATCTGTGAATTAAGGGGAGTGGTTGCCAAGGCAGGAAGTTTTGAAGTTCACATTAGTTCACTGGGATTTCAGCACATGGCTGAACAGCCTTGCTTTGCTTATCAGCCTTCTCTCAAACAACCTACTCCAAGACCCCCTCACCCAGTTTCCAGGAAGGACAGAGCTCATGAACCCTATAATAACATTGGCCAACTTAAAATGCCTTTGAATGAAACTATCTTCAGATTGCTGCCTCTGTGCATCAGTTCCTGGTATAATGCCAACTGTCTGTGGGTTTGCTTCAGCTGATTTTTCCCTTCCCAGTTGTCCAACTTATTTGGCCCAATTCTGCTGGGCCTCTTCCATTCTGCTGCAAGCTGCTTCCTTTAAACCCCCCAGTACTTTGTTTTGGTGCTGGTATCTCTTTTTTGACCCTGAGCTGAGTTAAAGGCTCCTTATCCACTCCAACATTTTGTTTTATCCTTTCACAGGATGTGGTGTCACTGGTTAGGTCAACATTTGATGTCCATTCATTGCCCTTGAAAAAGCGGTGGTGAACCACCTTCTTGAACCACTGAAGACCACGTGATAGATACACCCATACTGCTGCTAGGAAGAGAGTTCCAAGATTTTTGAGCCAATGGCAGAGAAGGAATGGCAAAATACTTCTAAGTCAGAATGGTATGTATGTTTGTATGTAGCTCAGTAACACTCCATTTCTGCCTAATTTGTTGTTGACACCCACATAAATCTAGTGTTAAAAGAGCTGTCTAATTACTCCAGTGCTTCCCTGGCTGGTCTCCTATATTACATCTTCTTGCAGAACTTAGCGCATTCAGAATTCTGCTGACCTATCACAATTATCTCGAGTCCCATTCATCCTTAACCTTGTGAAAACTGGTCCTTTAGTCCCGTGTCTTTCAATATTATGAATAAAGCTATTGTGTGGTTCTGTGAAGAGCATCAGGTGTGCCCACCACGTGGTTGATAATCTGTAAATTAATTTGGCTTGTGTGTTAGCCTTTTTTACTATGTCATGAGTTTTGTTTAAACAGGCTAAAGGTTTAGTGTGTTGGAAGTTGTGATTGAAAGTTCTTTTGGAATAAAAGAGAAAGTTCTTAACACCAAGTTACAGACACTAAGATTAAAACAAGGACCAATTGTTATACAGTAGAAAATGACTGTTTTTAAAAGCAGTTCAAGTCCTAACTTCTGTTGAGAGTTTTTTTAAAATTTAGACACACTCCATAAAACACGTCGCATTGATTATTAGCTCCCTCTATTTAAACAATTAATTGATACACAATTAAACCCAAGTGAATATAATCCATCACCTGTTCCCTAATTCCAATACCCTAATTCCTTCCGATCATCTCAGATGATGAGGTTTCCCTTTTCCCTTTTCAAATAAATTATTATACAATGAAAAACAAATAGAAAATGATAATATATTTCCCATTCTTTTTCGTTAGTACATTAATGTTCCAAAAGTCCATTTTTCTGTATGTACAACAATTTGTTAGAACTTGCTGTTTTCCAACTTACCTCCCTTTCCCACAGATAAAAATGATAAATGCTGCTGTGAGGAGAACTCAACACGACAAGAGTTGCATAAGAAGCATTACTAAGTTGTTTCATGTTGCTGGCTTCAACCAGTGATGGAAATTTCAAAATACACTGCTTCAATTTTAATTTTTTCAATGTTTTGTTCACTGAAATATTTATCACCTAGGGATTTTTCACAACTGTACTCCACTTTAGTACTTCAGAACTGGTATTTGGCCTTATTTGGATGCCAGGCCAATTCAACTATCTAATTTGAAAACTGCTGCATCTTCTTGAGAGGCTGTATCTTGATAAATAACATTGGCTCTAGCATTTTTCAAATAAGATTGCTGATCCAAAATGATACTTGATCCATTCTGTCTGATTTCCAATCTCATGTATGTAAAAGCCCCAGAAGTCTGACTTCCAATTTTAAATGTGACATTTTTTCCATGAGTAACCATCTTTGTGATAGGGCTGGTTGTCTGCTATATGGTACCTTTCCAGCTTCAGTTCGTGCTGTATGTTTTTATTTAACTTATCTTCTAGTTTGTTCATTGCCACTAAGTCTTCCTGATTACATAACTTCCACTCATGGTGGTATTCCTGTTTTGTACTATATTTCTTGGTAATGTCAAATTGTGCCCTCTATCTTGCCTTCTATCCATTTCTTAGCTACTCCTATTTGACCTCCCCTTCCTGAGGATTTCTTTCAATGGTTCATGGCCTCTTTTTAGGAGCATGTTTGCTCCCAGACAAACTTATACTGCACTTCCTTGCCTTCTGTCTTTTGGACTCCATGTTCCCAATCCATGGGCATGAACCCCTGTTCCTCATCCAATAAATCCATCAAGTATTTACATGTTTCAGTAGCTTCCCTTGTCTGACTTTTAATAGTTACATTTTTCCATTGACCAACCCCTTCTGGTAAATATTAGACTTTGTCCTTAGGGACCAGTGCCTTCATCGACCATCTGAACTGATCTGTCTGTCATCAGACAAACTGACCACTGTGGCAGTTTATTCCTCATTACTGTGCAAAATTGCAAAATGATTTTGTTTTCTTTATACCATACCTTTTAAATCCAGTGCCACTACCTTGTTGAAATTTTCTGCTAAGGCAGACTTACTATAGGTGTGTTTTAATATTTCCAACAAATCTCACATCCATCACATCTTTGAGCTTATTGACTGCCCATCGTTTACTAAAAGTTTTGACCTTTTATAGGATTGATCAGTCAACACAATTGACTTTTTGTCTTCTAAATTTCTATCCCTGGTGTCAAGAATGCTCATTTATTTTGTGGAGAGTTTATTGTCTGTTACAGGAGTATAGTAGTGCCCCATATGTATAAATTGTGTATTTGCTGATTTTCTAAATACAATAGATTTGAAATAGTCATAGGGTCTGTTTCTGTGCTGTATGACTCTTCGGTCCAACTCATCCGCGCTGACCAGACATCCCAATCTGACCTAGTCCCATTTGTCAGCATTTGGCCCATATCCCTCTAAATCCTTCCTATTCAAATAACCATCCAGATGCCTTTTAAATGCTGTAATTGCACCCGCCTCCATGACTTCCTTTGGCAGCTCATTCCATATACACATCACCCTCTGCATGAACAAGTTACCTATCAGATCCTTTTTAAATCTTTTTCTTCTCACCTTAAACCTGTGGCCCCTTATTTTGGACTCAAACACCCTAGGGAAAAAGACCTTGGGTATTCACCCTATCCATGCTCTTTATGATTTTATAAACCTTTATAAGATCACCCCTCAGACTCTGATGCTCTGCGGAAGAAAAACCCCACCCTATTCAGCCTCTCCCTGTTGCCCAAACCCTCTAGTCTCAGTACGATCGTTGTAAATCTTTTCTGCACCCTGTCGAATTTAACAACGTTTTTCCTATAGACCGGTGACCAGAATTGGACGCATTACTCTAAAAGTAGCCTCACCAATGTCCTGTACAGTCCAACATGACATCTCAACACCTGTACGCAACGCACTGACTTGTGAAGGCAAGTGTGCCGAACGCCTTCTTCACTGCCCTGTCGACCTGCGACTCCACTTTCAAGGAACTATATACCTGTGCCCCGGGTCCCTTTGTTCAGCAACACTCCCAAGGGCCCTACCATTAACTGTATAAGTCCTGCCTTGGTTTGTTTTACCAAAATGCAACACCTCACATTTATCTAAATTCCATCTGCCACTTCTCAGCTCGTTGGCCCATCTGATCAAGGTCCTGTTGTACTCCAAGGTAATCTTCTTCACGTTTTCCATATCCAACTTCATTTGTACTTTCTTTATTGACCTACTTAATAATAATTGCATTTCACTGAACACCACATAAGCAAAATAAGCAAAATACTGCAAATGCTGGAAATACAAAATCAAGACAGAGAATGCTGAAAAAACTCAGCAGGTCTGGCAGCATCTGCAGAAAGAGAAACAGAGTTAAAGTTTCAAGTCCAGTATGGCTGCTTCAGAACTGAAAACCATTCAAAACTGAAGGTTCTGAGGAAGAGTCATACTGGACTCAAAACTTTAACTCTCTTTTTCTCTCTCTGCAGATGCTGTCAGACCTGTTGAGTTTCTCCAGTATTCCATATGTTTGTTTCGTGCCAATGAAATGATTGATTCTGGCAGCTTTACAAGGAAAGACCACTCGTTTCAAAGATTTAGTGTGCTATTCCAAAATCTGAAACTGGTGGAACTCTCAAGTTCCTTAACTTTGTTTTGATTCTTAGTACACAGAGGCTCAGTAGCATTTTAGTTTTTCTATGACTTGCTCCGTAGATGTGCATCCACTACCTAATACTGCACAACTGAAAGATTCTTCCACCAATGCAGTTGCCATTAGGCTGAAGCTTCTAGTGACTAAAACAAATATCCTCCCTCTGATCTGTATCTCCATCTCCTTCCTCTGAAGGACAGTTCATGGCATAATGGTACTTTGAATTGCACCTATAACATCAATTGACTACACACCGAGTATTTCTGCAATTCGTTCTCTGATTGTAAATATCAAATTCTCTTCATTTCTCAGAATTATGAACAGCATTTTTGCCCTCATTTTGAGTTACAGTCCTACTTTTGTACTGTCGCCTGCAACTGCTATCTGGATGATCTTGTCAATTTAACATTTTGTCCTTCATTTTTTGTCGTACAACCAATTTCCTCTTGTGTTATGAGTGCTGCTGGAAAGGAATGGTTTCCTAGGAATATTTTCAGTGCTTCCAGCATGTGTTCTCTCAGTGTATGTTTATCTGCAAATTTAGCTCATGTCAAAATTAGAAGTCTGTCTATTGTTAATACTTTAGCATAGTCACTTAAATGCAACACAGGTCAGGGGATTTCCAGATGAATTTTTTGAAGTCTTGCATGCAATCTACTGATTTCCATCATGTACCCATCCATAACACTATCCTCAGCTTTTATAAATGTATCTGTAGTTGGGTCGCTAGTGTCCACTTGTACGAGTGGAAGACAGTAGATTTCTGGTGTCTAGTTGTGCTCCTTTTAGCTGGTCAGATACATTACAGCAGATCACCAGCACTTACAGTCTCTCCCTTTATTCTTTCTCTCTCTTTTTCTCTCTCCCTCTTTCTGTCTGTTTGTTGGGAGAGGTGTTTCTGCTGGGATGATTCAAAAATGGAATCTCTCTTTGCTTAGGCACTTTGCCTTTTGAATCATTCTTAGCAGACAAGTTAAGGTGGCCAGTAGTGGATGATCTATGCACAGAACTAAGCCATGTTCCACATAAGGCATTGGTATTTTGGAGACAGCTTGTCACTTTCCTCTAGTTTTTAATTTTTTCTTTTGGTCAGTACCTAATTTATATTCTCATAATGAATCAGCTATACTTCATTAACTCCTAGATGAGAGCTTTTACGTTTCTGGGAATGCCTCTCTGTTGTCCCTGTGAAACTGCAGTGGTGCAGTCAGGGGACTTATAGCAGACATATTTTTAGCTTCCTGCCCTGAGTTTCGGTCAGGCTAATCTTCATTATACAAAAGTCGGTTTAGCTTTAAGAGTTTTTCCCTAAAAATTACCAGCTGTAATCACAGTATGATTACAGGTAATCTGATGCTACTTCTCACTATTTTCAAACAAGTTGATAATTTTTATATTTTGA